CTGTATATCAGAACTGTGATAAATAGAACAAAATAACCTCAGGTAATGGATAAGAATAAAACAATTAATGTTAACTTCCTACTTCAACCTTTCAGAGAAATACTAGAAACACAATTTGTACACCTAACAAGAAGCACATATTTTCAATCAAGACACTTTATTTTTGTGGAGTCCTTGGTGCTCTCTGAGCTTGGTTGTTTGCTTGCAGATATTTCATTACCCAACTCAGTAACATCATCAATGCAAGTAAGTGTGGGGTTTGCTCCCTGTTTATATACAGTAGCTTGTCCAGACAGTTTTGAAATATCTGCAAGCACACAACCAAGCTCAGAGAGCACGAAGGGCTCCATGGTTCAACCCTGAGCTACAGATATTCTCTTCTATTGGAAACATTTTATTTTTGCAAACCTGTCTAGAATCACTGGTGACTTAGAGGATTCTTGAGCTATTTCAGAAGCCACAATGTAGTTAGTCAGCGCATAGAATGCTCTCCGTATGAGTGGTGGTTCATCATCAAAAATCTTCCGCCACTGGCTAACACAAGATGGAGGAGTCCTCAAGAGCACAGCATTCAGTGAGTCTTTCAAAAAATGAGTTACTGTTGTTTTACCTACATGTGGTACAGGAAGGAAAGTGGTCCTTAGTTATGACACAGCACCTGGGTTGATCAAGTTTGAAAGAATTTAGATTAGATCATTGGTATCATATATAATAGCCCACTGTGTTTGGATCTCTCCTGTCTTACGTGCAGATGAGGCAAGCCTTTGCAGAGAAGTTAGGACAACTGGAGCCATAGAGCTGATGTTCTCTTAAGAAAGCAACTACCAGCCATTTTTTTGGTAGTTGCTGTCAGAAGGCTATAGCTGTGACTGAGAGGAAGAAGAGTTGAAACTTCAGCCTGCTCCAGGAGGGAATCCCCTACCTTGTTAGTAACACTGCCTCACAACTGCCACCAATCCTGCTGTGAGGAGATGTGGTGAAGATGAGAAGCAACTTTCTTGTACCTGCACTGAATGGAAAGACTGAACTGGGATTAAAATAGTACAGGATCTAAGCTTCACACCAGGCCTTAATCCCCTATTTGCATGGAATTCACTGGCCTCATTCACAAATCACGCATCATGCTAAGCCATAAAGTGATCTATTTGGTTTAATATGCAGTGTGCATCCAATCATGGACTATTGTAAATCATGATTTTGTTCAAATTCAGCCAGTTCGGCATATTCAATAAACCATGGTCAAATAAACTATGGCATACTACAATGCAGGTGTCATAGATGAATGTCATCACCTAGATATATTTATAAATGGCAAGCATCAGATGAATTACTAAACAAAGGAAAAAAAATGCTTACTCACCTGACAGAATTGCTTTATGAATTAAAACAGATTAATGTATATCAGCCTTTCTCACCCTGGTGCTCTCCTGCTATGTTGGCTTACAATTCCTATAATCCTCACAAGTATGGTAAGGAAACTCTGAGGGAGGTAGAAAGATGGATGTGCAGACTATATTTGATCCAGACACTGTCAGCTAACCAACCCTGCCATATGGCAAAGATTTCTGTTTTCTACTAACATTAACATCTGTTCACAGGTCCTCAAATTACTATCCATCACACTTCTCTTTTATTTAATTGTTGTCATTTTATTTTCTTGCTCCTTTGGACACTCTAACAACCTCCAAAATAACTAATAACCAGGAAACAATTCTGGGCAGTATGTTACTTGCATGATTGATTGATTGATTGATTGATTGATTGATTGATTGATTGATTTCTGTGACACAACTATAATTTATAAAAAAGTATTCATAATTCTCAAGCCTGGTGAAACATTTGTAAAGGCAGTGGTGAAAAAGGAAACCAATTACATACAGTAGCTAAACGAGTAGTATTTTTCAGTTGAGAAGGGTTAATTTCCATGCATGTTAATCCAATGTATGTTGTTTAGAAGTTAAAGTTCTATTCATGAGCATCTGCAGCAAATTAGATTGCATGCCAGATTGTCAATCCACATCCCTGTTAGGAAGATATGTTGTTGGTTACACATAAAGTGAGATGCTCCAGCCCCTCCCCTCTGCCAGAGACAAAAATGTTTGGTCATTTAAGACAAAGTGGTCTGTTGACTCAATCTGGAGAAAGCATGGGACTACCATAATTCCCCCAGACTTTGGTTGCCAAGAGGCTTCTGAGTGCAATTTAGAGTGGTAGTACTAATCTATAAAATATTACATGGCTTTGTGCTTCGTTATCTGCAGGACCAGGTTCTCCCATTGGAATTGGCCCAGCTAATTTATCTGCGGGGAAAATTAGCGATGCCCCACTTTAGAGAGGTGAGGAGGGCTAAAGTTTGATGGCATTGCTTTTCAATGGCTGCACTGGTTCTTTGAAATGGCCTCCTAGCAGTAACCAGTTGGTTCTCAACCTAATTACCTTCTGGAAAATGCTCAGACATCTTCCAGAGGGCATTTGAGCCTTGACCCCATCTTACTTTGGTTGTAATTCAGTTTGGTTAATTTAACTTCATTTTATGTTGTTCATTAGTTTGTGGATCTTTTATTTGCATACTTTTTGTTTATTGCATATTGCTTCTTATATAACATCTGTAAGCTGACAAGATTTGATAGAATACTCACTTGTCTACTCTTAATCTTGTTTTTTTATGGCTTTACAATTTTGCACAAACCCTAACCCTGTTTGTTTTCAGGTCAGTGTGCTATGCAAACCCACAAAATAGGTTGATTTGATACCTGTCAGATATGTGTCCCATGAACTCAGTCAAAAAAATTGCCTATGCTTTCATAAGAATATATTTAAGTTTTTTCTTACCTGTTGCATCCAGCCCTTCAATAACTATTACAGGAAAATTTCCTTTTTTTGGATGGTTAGGAGACTTATCCACAAGTTCTAGAATGAATCTGGCTTCAGGAATTATTGAAGTGCACTGTAACAAGAGGATGCATTGATTTAGGAGGTCCTAGGAGCAATACCTGAGACACTCCTTCTGCAGATTAATTCCTCAAGTGGCTTCAACAACATTTCTGATACCTACTTGAAGTGCCAGATGGAATACAGAACATGGCTCTTACACCCTGAGCAACCGTTGTGTCACCTGAAAGAAATTCAACTGACATTCTCAGAGACAGATGCTGAAATCTTCCATATAGGAGATGTAACTTGGCCATTCAAATGGAAGATTATAGGAAATCAACACTTGAAATCATCACTTAAATTTGATTGGACTAATTTAGGAGATTAGAAGATATTGTGCAATTAAACATGCACATTTTTCAAGATTCTTTGAAATATCCATGCCTCCTGCAAAACCTTCAAGGAAACATATATATTCCCTGTTACAAAGCACTACGGAGCACAAACAGAACATGGACAGTGAAAAGCTGAGTTTGTACAACATGCTATACCATATTTTGCATAATGATGCATGGTTTACATTCTCCACCAGGATTTTTCATACACTTTCTCTTCAAACACCATAAGCAACTGATTATTCAAAAACAAAAATCCAAAGGCCTTGGGAAAGGATACTTCTACTCTAACTCCATAACTCACGTATATAGAACAGGACAATCACTATGGTCTGGCTCAAATGAAACTTTTAAGAGAATACAACCTTTAAAATATTTCTATAACAACAGGAAGCCCCTCAGTAAAGAAGAGGTAGAGCAACAAATACAGTGGTACCTCCGGTCACGAACTTAATTCGTTCTGCGACTCTGGTCGCGACCCGAA